AAAATAGATGAACTGTTGTTGCAGTTACCATGGGCATACTAACTGGAAGTTTGCATTATTTGAACCGAGCAAAGCCCTCACAGGCGTAGTGTGTCTCCTTCCTGTAGAATAATGGGTCTGCACTAGCACCATAGCATCTGCGTGATGTGTAAGTATTTGGGCACACCGCGAAAACAGCGGAGCTTCCGTCGAATTTTGTTTTGATGAAAAAATTTGCCGCTAAATGCTATCGTTTGTGGCACGAAGATCCGTTTTCAAAGCCAAAATGCACAACAGAATGCTGAAAACCTCACCCATATATATTTCTTTTTTATCTTTTTGTCCAGTGCGCGATTTTCTTCGGGAAGATCGCCGTTATCATCGATTTCCTTCTTCACGAAGCGATTTGGTGAGGTATTCGCTGCATTTGCCGCTTCCTGAAAAGTATTGATGCAATAGTGGACGTAATTTAAACTGTAACTGAAGACACCAAACTCTGTCTTGAATTACGGACTCTCACCATGCAATTACCGCTTGTGGGATTTCTTAACGGAGTGGACCAAGAGCCTGGATGCTGGGAATTTGTACGTTTAGAATGGTTCAAAGGTAGTGACACCGTCACATTTCGCAGTGTGTTCATCTTGCGACAGAAATATTTATCACACGAACGTAAAGCTTTCCTATGCTTTTCACAGCTTACCTTGCGCGCATTGCGAAATGCTAGAGAATCCTCCGGCATACTTCCGCTGCTGCAGTACTTGGGCCGTACTGACCGCTGACTCGTCTCTTCCACTTTTCTTTTTCTGGAGATGCAGCCGCTGTTGTTGACATCCGTAGACAGCTCGGAAAGTGGATCTACCATCCTAATCGTTGGCTGACTTCGCATATCCCGTTCTTTCATAACCTAAAAGCATTCGGTGATACGCAGATTAGCGGATAGGAAGCGAAAAACTGCGTCAATTTGGTCCCAACAGACCCCTTCCACCGATGGGATAACCCAGGCTGGAACGCACCGGACGGGCCCGTGCGATCATGCGTTTTTGCACAGGACTTGAAG